AATGTTGTAGAGGCTCATGTGAGGAACACAGAACCATGGTCCATTTTTCCTGAACGTCCCAGGAATGTCAAAACAGCGGGGAAGAAATGGTCCAAAGTTCGATCCTCCGTGATGACAAATTTTTGCAATTTATGTTGGCGCCTCCAAATTGCCGCAAAACACGACAATGACATCTATTCTCGACGATGGCGCCATTTGGCGGCAATCTGGGGGCGCCAAACTATATTGCAAAAATTAGTCATCACCGGGGATCGAACTCTGGACCATTTCTTCACCACTGTTTTGACATTCCTGGAGGCGTTCAGGAAAATGGATCATGGTTCTGTGTTCCTCGCATGAGCCCCTACAACATGCAGAAAACCATTTCGAAAAAGCGCTCCATGTCCTGAAAGACCTCCCTTGTTAGACGAGTTTTGTGCCAAAATGAACAACCGCGGGCTAAAATGTTGTGGGCAAAATTTGATGTGATGAGTGTCCAACCCTTTATAATGTCAGAATCAAAATCACGATTTGTCCCGAAAGTCCATCCCCAGGGGTAATTTCGTCGGCACGCAAGGAGGTGAAAGTACCCCTAGGACGGCACTAAAACGCCTGGCGTGAGATACAAGCGCCTTGCGTGGCGCAATCACTCACTTTCGTAGTAGTACCCCCCACAGATCTGGAGTATGTTCTTAAGCACGATTACAGTATCCTTTCGTAGAGTACTAGACCTCTAGTTACAAATTTTTAGAGATTTTGGTGGTCATGAATGCTTGAATGCTTCAGAATGAAAGTTGTTGGAAGAATAAATTTATCTTCTTTCTTGGAAAATCCTAGAATCGCTGAGAAAATGTACCCTTGTTCTACAAAGAAGTTCATTTGTTCTTCTTTTGTATCTAGCGAAATAGGCGATAAATCAAGAATGAGATGAAATCAAATTGAGCTGACCAACTCTCCTCACCCTGCCACGCTTTCAAAACCAAATACTTCTCGAGCTACTTGAAGCAAGTCATCGATCTCCTCATTGATGATAGCATCCGCCTCCTCTTCGTTGGTACTCCAGGAAGAATACAACATTTCGTTCACTAAGTCGGAGCAAAATGCCTAAATGTTAATCTTTCTTGAAAATTAGACTAGGCTTGGAGCAGAGGCGAACGCGACTGCGTTGTAGTCGCACTTAACAAAAGGAGCGACCGCACTTGCGAGCAGGGTCAACCGTCACGTTCGAACATTTTCGGGATTTTTGCGACCCCCTAGCTCTCGAGGGGGTCCAGTTGCGACCCCCTGTTTTTGTTAATAAGAGTGCTAGACATGAATCCGTTGCGCCAGAAAGCGTCTGCGTTGCGGCGTCAGCCTTATTTTTGACTTGTTGAGGTAGATTTTGACTGTGCCTGAGGTGCGCTTTCAGAAAACTACAAGGATTGCCTAACTCTCCGGAAAGTACTTCTGTTAGAAGTGGAAAACCCAAAATTCTAAGAAGGCGCACCTTCAACTTTGAAGGCCCATAATATCTTTCGTATGCGACATTTTGGAAAGCTGTAAAAAGTTTCAGAAACTTCAAATATTTCTCTACAAAACAGTATAAAAAGTTTAGTGATTGTCCCCTTTTTCAAAAAATTGTCCCGTTCGAACATTTTTCGTGCAAAAGCGAGTTTTTGGGCTTTCAGCGACCATAACTCACTTCATTTTCATTTCTGTGATTCACTTAAGTACAGGATTTTCTCTTTCTAAGCACCAACCGTTTTCAAAGTTCATTTTTCGAGAAAATCACACGTTCGAACATTTTTTCCCATAGGTTTTTGAGCAGCACATGCGAGTTTTTGAGCTTTCAGCAATAATAACTTCCTTCAAAGAGCTTGTTGGGGAGGGCGAAGACATTTTTGAAGACTACGAGATTTCTGCTTTCTTATGTGTTTACAGTTCTGGAAGAAGCGTCCTCAGAAAATTAGGTCCCGAAGAACTTTAATTTCAGCCCCGAGAAGTCAAACCTTTCATAGGGATGCATTCAACTGTTCTTTATTCCTCAAGGAAAACACCGTAATTTGCCTAAAACTGTCTCTCTGTGCATAATAAATCGAATCTAATGCGGTCTGCACAAGCAAGTCTTGCCCTCGGATACGCCACGCACGCGCCTGTGGCTGGCAGTCCTCGAAATTGCGACCCCCTTCCGACCAAAATGCGACCCCTTCGTTCGAACAGTTCGAACGGACGGTTGACCCTGCTTGCGAGGCCGTTTTTATACACAGAACTGAAGGCCATGGAAGGAAAAATATGAAGAGTTGAAAGAGAATCACCAACCCTCTTCCTTCGCGCGAAAAAGCGCCGAGTATCTCGGGTGTCAGAAAATTCTTCAGCTGCCAGCTCTTGGATCGTTCTCTTGCAATCGTTGAATATTGACTGGAAACGCTGTTGAGATTCATGGCAAAAAGAACAATTGAAAAGACGAATTTACCGTGGAATCAAGAAAGTGCAAAGCTCGAACGAATAACTGATGAAGACAGCGATCGGCAAGGTCTGGACAACTTGAGTGTCTAAAAATTCAGTTATCTGCCGGCCAATGTCGATTGGAGGCTTGTTTACCCATATGCTTCCTAGGGCCTTATACATGGGTACCATACAAAATATAGCTAGGTACCCAAAGGATGATAACTCTACTTTAGCAATAAGTTTTTGCACTTATTCACGGTTCACACTGTCTACAACACATAATAACGTACCTAGCTGCTAAAACAAGGAAAGGATTGGACGCTTCCATCATAGTCTGCTCACATTCTGCAGGATACTCGGCACAGAACTGATCAAAAATCGCCACAATCAGCTCGGACGACACGCCCAAGCGGCGTCTGACCAAATAGCCACTTAAAAGCCGATCTAAAACCATGCAATCATGTAACTACACTTATTGCGAAATCGACAGCGACTATGTTATGGCTCACTGGAATACGTTTCTGACATCCTCGTCCTCATCATTGACAAAACTTAGACTTGCTTTAACCAATTTGAGGTACAACAATCCTGGAGGGCACTGCATGTGACAGATCGCTGTTAACACCAGTCCAGCCGCATCTGTAGTGTTTTCATTTTGCTTTCTTCACTGGATTTTCACCCTTTTCTTTTTAGGACTTGGTTCGTTTGCTAACGCTGATATGATGCCGCAGGTCGCGTTGGAAGTACTTTAGGTATTGTTTAACAACTCGACAATATACAGGGGGAGAGGCAAAAAAAGAAAGAAGTTCTGCCTAGGTGTATGGAGAGAGAAGGCGATAAGCGCCCCAGAAACTTGGAAACTTTTTGTGACGCTGCCGTGGTAAGACGGAGAAGACAGCCGCTGCAAAAAGCAGAGAAACGCGAGAGACAATGTACGCTAGAGTGTGCAGACACACATGTGCGCCGTTGGTTCGTGAGGAGACAGGAAAGCCTCAGCAAGACAAGGCATTAGCGCCAGTCTGGAAATTTTGGGTCGCGACAGTCGCGCTTCCCGCCCGTGAGAATCCCTCTTTCTTTAGGGAGACTACTTATCGGCACTTAATCCTGACACGTGGCTTTAACCACGGGTCATACAAGGTTGAAGTGGTCAAGTCGGCTTCTGTACTGATTCCGTATCCCGCCCTGTAGAAGAAGAAAAATATTACCTAATCGTATATGCTTTTCCTTCTGGTATTTTGGATCCGTAAGCACCTTGATGAGAAGTTCAAACAATCCTGGCAGCTGATGAACTTTTTCTTGTTCAGGAATCAGCGTTCCAGCCACCACTCTCTCGCAGGCCCTGCATGTCACACCAGTCGCGCTGTGAACTTCGCTTTCCGGATGACTGGCACACAAAGAGTGAGATAGAGCGTTAAGGACGCATGCTATATCCACTTTGGAATTCTGAAATCAAGAGAAACATGATTTATGAGTCTAACCAAAATAAGGCGCATCAATGTCCACAACTAGTGAAAAAATGTTGAATAGTTTAGTAAAACTTTAAAAACGTGGCTACACGCCAATTCGAGAACAGTTCAAATATTCCAGGGGAAAACATCAGTAGACTTCGAATGAATACAGGCAAATCGCTCAACTACTGAAATCCGTTTTTCTATTCGAATCGTTCACAGTCCCGAGGATAAAAAAAGCTTATCAAAGCTTACGGTCAGCGTGTAAGAACATACTTATTATCTGAATTGCTAAGACCCTATACCTCTTCCCATGGGTCAGTGTGGGGTTCCAAGGAAACAATCGCGTGTCAAGAAGTCCTAGTGGAAATGGGGTGGTGGGCATGGGAGCATCCTTTAGAACCTCCTCTGAGCCCTATTCGAAGGATCTGAAGGCTCTTGTCGGAATCAAATCTTAAAAAATTGCTATCGATAGGAGGACATATGACATCCCATTTGTCTATATAGAAAGAAATACGAGCTTACTTGAAAGTAAAAGTAGAAATAGTGTGAAAAAAGAGGAAAAAAAGAGAAGGTGGGTATGCAGCTAAAAGTGTGAAAGTACAACACAAGAAGTTTAACAGTTACCGTAAAACCAGGATCTGAAGCCAATTCAATCGCTGGAGTCAACAATCGATGCAATGAAGCGGCATCGAGCGATGACACGAACATTGCCAAGTAAGAAAGTGCAGTCTAAAGTATTTCAACATTTTTAGTCACAATAAAAACTCTCCCAGATGTACCGACACCGTTTCCCCCTGGAGACTGACGCAAAAGTCTATTTGAGCAATTCATACGCTACGATAATCTTACATCTTTTTTTTTGAGAATTGTGCGCCTTCCTGTTACTTTTTTAAAAATTTACAGACCTAAACCCTGCTAACCGCATGCTAGCTTTCTTGATCGGATTTCTTGACCGAAGGAGGCATTG